GACAACGCTCTCCAGGAACACAAACTGTCCTTTTCAGGAAAACGCTTCCCTCCAAAAACACAAAACTGTCCTTTTCAGGACAACGCTCTCCGATGAACACAAAATGTCCTTTTCAGGACAACGCTCTCCGGAACACAAAACTTTTCTTTTCAGGACAACGCTCTCCAGGAACACAAAACTGTCCTTTTCAGGACAACGCTCTCAGGAACAAAACTGTCCTTTTCAAAACGCTTTCAGGGAACACAAAACTGTCCTTTTCAGGACAACGATCTCCAGGGAACACAAAACTGTCCTTTTCAGGACAACGCTCTCCAGCGAACACAAACTGTTCTTTTCAGGAAAACGCTCTCCAGCAAATACAAAACTGTCCTTTTCAGGACAACGCTCTCCGATGAACACAAAACTGTCCTTTTCAGGACGACGCTCTCCAGGGAACACAAAACTGTCCTTTTCAGGACAACGCTCTCCAGCGACTACAAGACGGTCATGGCCACGCTCCTTTTATCCTCTACATCAGCATGCAGAGATCGTTTGTTGTATTTTCTTTGACGAAAATAATCTTGACAATATATTTTCAACTCAAGTTCGTTTTGTTTGTTGGTGTTTTCCGTCATTCAATATCGCTTGAACACCATTTTACCACTATTTACATTATTTGGACTATTGTCCTTATCTTTGTCACCATATTTATTACAAAGTTTCGGTCGTTGTATGCTCCGGTCTTCTTCAGGTGGCTAGAATGTCGAACTGAACTCATTATTTCGCTTACTGGGGTAGACTGTTCTAGTTTCACGTGCCATGTTTAATGGATGTCAGTTATCAGTTATCTCCTGTTAATTCCCCTCACCAAGTTCTCCACTGTCTTAACTGGGTATTGAACTCACACTCGAACCGTCCTCCCCAGTCAGCGATATTCCAACCACCTGAAGAAAACCGGAGCGTATATAAATATGGTGACAAAGATGAGGACGATAGTCCGAATAATGTAAATAGTGTACATAATACCTCATCTCAGAAATATAGACAGATACTGAAAGGCCGAAAAGTTGTAATAAATCTGGCGACAAAGATGGGGACAATAGTCCGAATAATGTAAATAGTGTACATAATAACTCATTTCAGAAATATAGACAGATACTGAAAGGCCGAAACTTTGCAATAAATATGGCAACAAAGATGAGGAGAATAGTCCGAATAATGTAAATAGTGTAAATAATACCTCATCTCAGAAATATAGACAGATACTGAAAGGCCGAAACGCTGTAATAAATATGGCGACAAAGATGAGGACAATAGTTCGAATATTGTAAATAGTGTACATAATACCTAATCTCAGAAATATAGACAGACCCTATTACCCATCGTAAAAGAAAAGAAAGCAGTGAAAGGCTGACACTTAATACCACAATTCCCGAAAAAGGCGTTGACTGGCTTTATTTCATCACCAACTCTCCTCGGGGTAAGACGTGTTTTTTTTTTTGCACCTCCACAAAACCAGTAGTGAGGAAACGAGAAACAGTAAATAAAAAGCTCAAACTGGTATTCTGAAAGCTTTTCTTACCGACTCTCACTTTTTTTTTACTTTTTTTTCTTAGATACTTGATTGTTTTGGTAGCTTATTCCTTCTCTCAATAAATCTTTATTCTTTGCTTTACCCTTTTTGAATTACAAGACCTCACTTCTCTGTCATTCCTTTGTCCGAGAAGCTAACATATATGTCTCTTCTTCGAACCTGAAGTCATCACACAAAGATTCTATCAATGACCAAATCAAAGATTAAGGAGTTCATATATTTCATTAAACAGCCACACGCAGCCAACAAATTTAATTTATATTTAAATCTTTTTGCCATTTAAGCTAGCATCAAGAATATAATTTGCCGCAGTTTGATCACTGAATTGTCATTTCGTTTTTAGAATATTGTAACAAATAGACAGCGTTTTGAATATCATTTGTTCCTAAATTTACACGCAAGATTGATATTACCTGCTCAGACATTTAAACACAGCAGGTGTAATTTTGAAAATGTCAATTTTTTGCTTATATTTGAATAGTTCGCTTTGAGACTAGTCAGGTTTAAATGTCACGACATAGAGTTGTGCTTCCCACATATGAGCATAATGTTTAATAAGTGCTATCAATAATAACAAAAAAATACAAATCTACCAAATATTATAGGACATGGGTAGCGTTTCTTAAGCTTAGCTGAGCAAGGCGTGTCTCTTCTGGCCATGGGCAACCATGGCTTTGGTTTTTGTTTGTTTTGTTTTACGGTATATCAATCTCAATGGTTTATTTAATGCTGAGAAGTTTTTTATTGCTGGTAATAATTTTTCCAAAAATTTGTTGTTGGTAATATTTTTTCTAAAAATGTATTACTGGTAATATTTTCTTAAAAAAATGTATTGCTGGTAAAATTTATTTTCAGCTGGTAATATATTTTCAGCTGGTAATATATTTTTTTTAAATGTATTGCTGGTAATATTTTCTTAAAAATGTATTGCTGGTAAAAATTATTTTCTGCTGGTAATATATTTTTTTAAAATGTATGCTGGTAATATTTTCTTTAAAAATGTATGACTAGGTAGGATATCCGTTGTTTTCTTCTGTCTTCAGTATGCCTTGTGAGCATTAATTTCTCAAAGCCTTCTTTCCTCATTACGTGTCCTAGAAATTTCAACTGTCTCTTTCTGATTTTAAATTATGTGTCATTTTTGCTTCTACATTCTTTAGAACTTCCCCGTTACTCAAATGTTCAGTTTATGATATTCTCAGCATCCTTCTGTAGAGCTACATTTCTGTTGCCTCTTCATCAGTGAGAAGACTGTTTAACATTCACTGTCATGGAAAGGGCTAGTTTGGTTTGGTTTGGTTTGTTTTGTTTTACGGTATATTAACCTCAATGGGTTATTTAATGCCGACAAGATTTTTATTGCTGGTAATATTTTTTCGTCAAAAATGTATTGCTGGTAATATTTTTTCTTCAAAAATGTATTGCTGGTAATATTTTTTCGTCAAAAATGTATTGCTGGTAATATTTTTTCGTAAAAAATGTATTGCTGGTAATATATTTTCTCAAAAATGTATTACTGGCAATAATGTATTGCTGGTAATAATTTTTCCTTCAAAACTTAATTGCTGGTAATTTTTTCCAAAAAATATTGCTGGTATTAAAACCTATATTTGAACTTTCATATATTTTCACCCCAGCTTGGGAGTTAACTATTTGCATATAGATGCGACCCTAACAGATGCTACCTCCCCGGGTCAGGATGGACCTGGGAACATCAGCAATTAAGAGAAGGTTCCACGCTTCTCAAAACCTCCTAATCAGAGGCCTTGCTGCCGGATGTAGTTTATTGTCTTACCCAGGACACGAATATAGTTTGTCGTCATACCCAAGACGCGGATGTAGTTTATCATATTAGCCAGGACGCAAATATAGTTCAACGTCTTATCCAGGACGCGGATGTAGTTTATCGCCTTACCCAGGACGCGGATGTAGTTTATCGTCATACCCAGGACGCAGATGTAGTTTATCGTATATATATATATATATATATATATATATATATATATATATATATATATATATATTAGGATATTAAATCAATAAACAATACATAATTGCAGTCGTGTTTCGATGAGAATCTTCCCTTACCTTAAATTTAACGTAGGTCATTTTGATTGGTTGATCTGAGTAAAGCCCACAAACCCTATAACCACTTACTCCTTTTTTTTCTTTCTTATTTCTTTTTTTTCTCGTAAAAAGTTGTATTTTGCTTTCAAATTTCAATAAATTGTCTATTTATCAGTTATTTACAATCGCCTGATGAGATTGGTTGATACACGTTGAAACACGACTGCAATTGTGTAGCGATTTTGACATGTTTTCAATGTAATATCCTAAAAAAGTATATTGGTCTACTTTGTATTGAGCCCTCTTTTAAATTAAATGTTACGAACGTTGGAATTGTACTCTATTCGCTCTCATTTTACCTATATATATATTATTTATTTAAAGATTATAACATAAATATGTTATAAAATAACTACAAAAATAGCCATTTTGTTTCAACACCTCATCAAGTGATGATGTTGAATGTAATATATATATATATATATATATATATATATAATGAAAAGAATCGTATTTTTTATTATTAAAATAGATACAAAAGTGTCTTGTTTAAGATTTTCTATCTATTTTGATAATAAAAGTATAATTCTTTTCCTTATAGTTAACTTGTCTTGGTGTGGCAGTAAGAAAAATCTGTTTATATATATATATATATATAGATAGATAGATAGAGAGAGAGAGAGAGATAGAGAGATAGAGAGAGAGATATACTTTTCTGTCATTCCAAAGGGAAAGAATCATGGTATAATTTCATCTTGTTACACATTGAAAAATACAACCAATTTTTTGACGTTATATATATATATATATATATATATATATATATATATATATATATATATATATATATATATATATATATTGACTCTTCACTTCTGATCTTCACTGGCAATTGTTTATCATACTAAATGGTAAGTTTCATTAGTTTTAAACCTTTGATATATTCCTTATAATTTCGCGCCTTTTTTCTTACAATAATAATAATGTTCCAATAATAATAATAATAACAATAATAATAATAATAATAATAATAATAATAATGTTAACAATAATATAAATAATGCAAATAGTAATAATAATCCTAAATATTGATTAAGAAAGCAAGAATGATTCTAATGATTTTATATTGAACAAACCAACTCTTGCAGACTCAAAAATAATCTTTCGTTCTCAAAAATATTTTATATCTGGCAAATAGAAAGCTTCACCTCAGCACAGGGTCTTCAACTCTCTGAGAAAGGGGGATAGAATGGTTAACTGCTGTTAACCATTCCCTTTTGATTAACAGCAAAAATATTCAAATATTCTACATATATATAAACATCGGGCATTTTTTTCGTCGGGCATTTGTCTCTATCAGGCATTTTCCCGTCAGGCAGTTGTCCCTATCAGGCAGTTGACCGTCGGGCTCTTATCAGTCGGGCAGTTACCCGCCGGGTACTTAGCCATCGGGCATTTGACCGTCGGGATCTTAGAATTCCTCGAAAGTTTCAGAAAAGTGAAAGTATTGTTCGGATATAAGTGTGAGAAGTTTGAAGTGGACTACGACGTCGTCGTTGTTCGAGATTGGCTACTCTCCGTTAACCTTAAAATGGCGGTTGCATTTCCGGAAAAAACCTGGCATGTGTGAATAGAGAATTCGATGATTGTCTTCCAGAGCTGTGAAGAGCTGCTTATTTTGAAAATCACTTAAGATATGTAATAATCGTGAGAAGTCATATGAGGCAGAAAATCAGTCCTAAATCCATCAGTTAATGACATTAAAATTGGAGGCGCATTCCTTTAAAATGGTAAAACTTCCTCGGGAGTCTCAAACGGGAGGCACTTTACGTATGTTTTCCGGCCATTCTGTTGGAAATTTCTTCGAATATCGAAAATCCTATTAGCAAAGGAAAAAGCTGCCAGAGTAAATTATTGTTGAGAAGGACATTTGTTTCTCTCCCATGATTGGCGATTTCATGGGGCTTCCTCGCTCTCGCTAAGTGAAGTATAAAGCTAAAAAGTAACGTTAAACGAGAATTAAGAAACATTTCGGATGATCGTGTGCGCCATAAATACGGGAAATCCGTCAAATAACCGGGTGGGACCTGCAGTGGTTTAATCTGTCTTGAAATAAAATCCGGATTTTATGAATATCTGACATCTTGTCAAGATCTGTTATCTTATCTTGCATGGAGTAGAGCCTTCAAGCAATTTAGTGTTAATCATTTGGACGCTGCTGACAGGGATTCGTAATCTTAAGCGATCACCCATATAAGTACTGATCAAGTTCAGCGTGGCTTAACTTTGATGAACAGATGGAAATAATGTCACCCTACAATTAGAACATCGATGTCATAGCGTTTGTTACGTTTGTATGCCATTCATAGTGAGTTCAAAGCGCAGTTTTGCTCTACTAAAGTTCTGACTAATCTAATCCCTGTCAAGGTTAACAAGAGATGTAAGAGCTTTTAATTTTTATTAATATCTGGGTGGTAATGCTGTTATAGAATAGTGGTTTTCAGATTAAGCTGCGTATATTTATAACAACTGTGGAAGAAATATATTTATAAGTATGTAAAATTTTAAATGTGTGTGTATGTAATATTTTTATCCTACACATACCTACATATATATATATATATATATATATATATATATATATATATATATGCAGTAATAATGACAATAATGACAATATATATGTATATATATGCAGTAATAATGACAAACATATCCCTTGAATTATTCACTGTCTCTCTCTCCATATATATATATATATATATATATATATATATATATATATATACTTTCCCTTACTTTCACTGACGATCCGTTTAGGTGAAACCTAGGTAGGTTTGTCTGGCTCACTAGGTGTATCTATATATATATATATATATGTATGTATAAATTCGCTTGAGGATGAAATGGAACTAATGTTTTTAATTTAATTACAAAATTAAATCCGGGGCTTTTAGCTTCCATTTTTGAAACATGGTTAGTACTGTAGCGAAAAAAACATATTTTAAATCAATTAATTTATAATATATATATATATATATATATATATATATATATATATATATATATATATATATATATATATATATATATATATATATAGAGAGAGAGAGAGAGAGATAGATTGTCTATAGACGCTTCACGTGTCCGAGCAGACATACCTATTTTTCTAAAACAGTATTTTTTTTTTCTAAACAGTATTGAACTCACAACTCTTTGCGTCGAGTCACTGGATCAAACCGACGTCTTTACCCACTGGGCCATGTGTCATTGGTTAGGTCCAGTAACTAGACCCAAAGTGTTGTGAGTTCAATACCAGGCCACAGCAGTGATGAACCAAAAAACTTGGCAATAAATCAAAGGGCGATAACTGTGACATCTGGAGGAGGTATGGCACGAGGAAATAGAGCAGTCTACCCCGGTGGACGAAATAAAGACTTCGAATCGAAATTCCAATCTCCTGAAGAAGGTCGGAGCATACAACGACCGAAACGTTGTAAATATGGCAATGACGACGAGGATAACAGTTCGAATAATGTAAATAATACCAGTAATCATAATCCTTCATCTCAGAGATATACACAGAATTGTCTTTATTATTAGTTTTTGAATAGCATTACTTTCATCTTAATTTGTTGCTGGATTATCCCTAGTAGTAAGTGGATGTAACAGTCTTTAATTGTCTGAAATTCTAACAGGAAAAATTGTCATTATTACTTATTTTTGAATAGGATTTTATTCATTTTGTTTTGTTGCTTGTTTGCACCTCGTAGTAATATCAGGTCATCCCATAAATCCTGTCCGAATTTTGAATAAAGAAAACAAGTGACCAAATGTTACATTTAATTACAGATTCAATCAACAATGTATTTTCCCTGATTATCTATGACTTCCTTCCATCTATTAACAAGCTTACTAATTCCATTACTGTAAAAATTCTTTTGGCTTTGATTCGAAGAACTCACAATGGTCAGTTTTAACCTCTTCTTGTGTTACAAAAGCTGTTTCTTCCAAATGATTCTGTAAGCTACGAAACAAATGGTAGTCTGAAGGAGCAAGATCGGGAGAATAAGGTGGATGAGGAATTTTCCCCCAACTAATCTTTTGTGACGTGATCCTTGCTGTGTGGGGTCGCGCACTATCCTGATGAAACATCACCTCTTTTCGATTCACTAGAGAAGGTCTATTTTTCACCAAAGCTTTGTTCAAACGCTCTAATTGCTGACAGTATATTTGAGCATTAATTGTTGCATTAGGTGGTAAGAATTCAAAGTGGATTATTCCTTGGCGATCCCACCAAATTGAAAGAAGAATCTTTTGCCCATGAAGTTCCCTTCTCGGCTGTGGCTGGGGTCCTTCCCCTTTACTAAGCCACTGTCTACGATGCTTAACATTTCAATAAAAGATCCATTTTTCGTCGCCAGTCACAAGTCTATCCAAAAAAGGTGAAACAAGTTGGCGCGAATGGAGAGAAGAGCAGATGTCAACTCGGGATTTGAGGTTGTTTTCAGACAGTTCATGAGACCCATTTTCCAAGTTTAGGAACTTTTCCAAGTTGTTGAAGATGACGATGAACAGTTGTATGGTTTGAACTGAGAACCACTGCCAGTTCCTCAACTGATAAAGCAGGATTTTCTTCAAGAAGCTTTTCATCAAACTCAACTGGACGTCCGGTTCGATCTTCATCTTCAAGTGTGAAATCTCCACCTCTGAATTTTGAAAACCATCTTCTACAAGTTCTTTCATTCACACATTCCTCTCCATAAACTGAGTGAATGTTTCTAGCCGCTTCGGCTGCTGAGTTTCCTTTCTTGAACTCATAAAGCATTATGTGCCTCAAATGATTCTTGGTTACTTCCATGTTAGCAGGGTTTTAATCAAACAAAATTTAATTTTATTGTTCTCTGAAATAAAATTTGATCAATTTAAATGCATCTAAATATAAAAATAATATTCAGCTCCATTAGACATTATAAAATACTCTTTAAATTTCGTTCATTTTAACAAAAAGTTAAAATTCGGACAGAATTTATGGGATGACCTGATAGTTTTAAGTTGTCTGAATGTCTGAGATGAAGCCTTGCCATTATTATTATTATTAATTTTGAGTCGTATCTCTTTCATCTGCTTCTTTACACAGAAGAGTAAACGTCAGTTGTCTGAGTTTCTTACACGAAACATTGTCATTTTTGTTCATTTCTGACGAGTATTTCTGCTTATTCTGTTGCTTGTTTATACCCGATAGTAAGTAAATGTAACATTCTGAAGTTGTCAGAACTTCTTAGATGAAGCATTGTCGTTATAAATTTTTCACTTGAATTTCATTCATTTTATTATGTTGCTTGTCGACACGTTGGAGTATGCAGATGCAATAATCTTCAGTTGTCTGAATTTCTTAGATCAAGCACTGTCATTATATTAATTTTTGATTAATAATTATTTCATCTTAAATTGCTGCCAGTAGTAATTAGATGTAATAGTCTTCAATTGTCTGAATTCCTTAATTGGACCATTCTTAGTATTATTAATTTTTGGTAAGCATTTCTTTCATCTTATCCTGATGCTTATTTACACCTAATTGTAAGTAGATGTAATAGTCTTCAGTGGTCTGAATTTCTTAATTGGACAATGGTCCAATTAAGAAACTTTTCTTTCGTATTTCTTTTATTGATGCGTCCTTACACCTAGTAGTAATTAGATCCAATAGTCTTCAGTTGAGTGGATTTTTCAGATCATGCATCGTCACTATTGTTAATTTTTAACTGGTAATTATATCATCAAATTTTACTGCTTGTTTACACTTAGTAGTAAGATGTAAAAGTCTTCAGTTATGTCATTGCGTGATACACCCCTAGGCGATCATGTATCTTTCAATACATGACTGACGAGGCAGATTTTTTCCCGCAGTAGGTTGCCATTTCTTTCTGCGGTAGACCAGTTGCCATCCAAATCTGTAGAACCCGGTCCATCCTGCTATTTACCAACAGCTGGCGGGGGGAGAAAAAAAAAGAAGATTCATACCTCTCCGAAGGGTATTAATTGGTAATTAAATGTAATGGATTCGACTGGAATTCGAACTCGGCTCTCTGATTCCTCAATCTGAGCAGCTATCTATTACTCCACCGTGCCTCCTAAAAGTCTTCAGTTGTCTGAATTCCTTAAATGAAGCATCGTCATTATTATCAATTTTTGACTCGTATTTCTTTAATCTTGTTCTATTGCTTTTCCACATCTTGTAGTATATAGATGCCATAATCTTTAGTTGTCTGAATTTCTTAGTTGAATAATTGGCATCGATTCCTTCTTAACTCTATTATTTAACTAATCCAGTCTTTCCTCTCAAATCGTGAAATGAAGGTTATCCTGAACGGCCACTCGTCTAGATCCTTTCGCCATAATATGGTAGCACCCTAGAGCTCTGTATTTGGTCGTACTTTTCTTTCATTTTGACTAATGAACTCT